AAAACGCAGAATACGACCTTCTTAAAAATGAATGAGCGTAGAGCCTCTTCCTGCTCACGTTTCAACGAAAATCCCAGGTCTAATCCTTCCAAAACTGATCAATAGTTGCTGCCATCTTCCTTGTTGTGCTTCTCCAGCGTCGTGCAGCTTTTTCGTCCCGCCTTAAAAACCCCGCCCGCTTTGCGTCCAGAAATTCAAAACACATCTCTGCGTTGTGATTGGCCCGCCAGTTCCAGGGCCTGGGGCATTGATGGAGGCTAGGCCAAACGCAGGCGGGTGGGGCTAGTTTACTAGGCTAAATAATGGTGTGAGAATATATTTCATTTAGAAAATAATTAACAATTAGAAATTAAATATCTATTAGTAATAAGTAATAATAATATTAAAATAAGTATCATGATTGTGATATAATAGTTATATATTAACGATCAAACATGTTGGGTTAACAGTATCCAGCACAGTAGTCAATGTGAGCCTTAACTGGATTATATAAGCAACCCAATTATTGCATTAAGGAAACCAACCCAAACTGTTGGGTTAAATGAAAGCCAATGTTTGTTCTGTCCAATATTTAAGCAGAGCTTAAACTACCCAATGGAGTTGTCTTTATTCCAACATTTTTAGTGTAAGTTTTTTTTTTTGTGTGTAAATTCAGGTAGAAAAGATATAAACAAATAACATATAAATATTTTCTATGCGCTTAGTTCCTTTAAGGGATAAAATCACTTAAGAAGCTAACGAACCTGTAGCTCTGCTCTGCGCCTGAAATGTTTTTCATTAAAAGGTTTAAATTGTCTGGTCATTTATGCAGTCAAGAACCAACATCAACTATCCAGGAAAGTTAAATATATTGATATTTCACATTTATATTATTAATCAGCCAATAGATAGAAGCAGTAGCATTAGCAGACTGTTCTGAGTCCCAATCTCTGCACCTTTGTTTTTTAATGTTCTCTCTGGGTTCTCCAGCTTCTTATGATGGTATAAAAAGACAGGTTATGACTCCCAGCCCATAGAGATGACTGTAGGTGTGCATGCTTTTGTTCATCCAGATGATTTCTGCCTCCCCCAGTGAAATTTCCACATCAGATTTTCCAGATCAAAGGGGCAGATTGATGCTTCATCCTTCAATGAATCATCTACTGTTTGCTAAGTTTTACCCAGGATGTCTGGTTAATGGGTTTTAAAACCTGACTGTTCATGTAAAAATTAACCGCCTACGGAAACTTATTGTGACTCGACAAATTAGCAGTAAAATAGAATCAAATTTATAACATACAGAAAATAAAAATAAAAAAATTATTACTGACTCTGTTTTTATTTTTTATGGGTATAACCTTTGAATGTCTGTCAATGTTTTCCATTTTTATGGCTGCATGCTGTTTTCCATGTTGTGTCCAGTTCATAAACATAGAGCCAGTAAATAAAGAAGTATTGAGTTATTTAATTAGAGGTTAAGGCCTGTCTGCTGGTCTTTGAGTGCATAAAGGTTCACTTTAAAGTTCATATTCTGCTCAGAGGAAATAAATAAAACAATAAACAAAGACAACAAGCCTGTTAACTAGATAACTACTGTCTTACTAAAGTATTTGCATCATTCCATCTCTCACATTTTAGCAACAAAATAAATCCAAAACCAGAAACGTCAAGTAAGCATAAATACATAGCTACTGTATTTAAGCTGCTTTTTCTTGTGTACTTTATGTGAGTATGTATTTTTCTGAAGGCTTTTCACTTTTACTCACCACATTTAAACTTAAATATCTGTACCTTCTACTTCTTAGTTAGTAACTAATCTTCAGTTCAGTCTATATCATCCTGTCTGAAATTTTTATGTAGAGCAAAACTAGAGTTAGTGTTTTGTTCTCTCTTCCACCACCGTGAGCAAAAGAAAATGAATAAATTTTATGTGCATAGACCTATTTTTTAAGAGTAGCTTTTAAAAGTATTAAGTATAATTGTAGGCAAACACTTCATTTCACTTTTGCGCTAAAGTACAATGTAGAACTTAATGAGATCAACTCTGTGTGAAACATCAAAGCTAAAATCTAACTTCTATCAAAAAACAGAAAGTCTAAATTAGTGTTTTTATCTTTCTAGATGTATTTTAATAAACTTTCTGTATAGGTTCTTACTAAGGATGCAGGATATATTGACATAAGTATCGGCCAATCATTTTGAAGCATATTGGTGTCGGTCCAGTGAGTGGAACTGGGCCCGATCAAAGGTATAGTGGAGGATGTTCTTTTTCCGGGTGGATCATTAAAATAAGTGGTCCTCCTAACTGTCAATCATTCTGGTGATATGTTTACGTGAGGCCGTCCTACGTGCTCCTTCTGTTAGCCATCTCTTTCTGCACATGAGCACTTTCAGGCGTATTTATGTGGTGAGCTGGTTTCAGACAGTCATTGAAGCTCACCTTTCTCACCGCGGTTCTTTGAAAATGGCCGACGGTCGTGAGATAAAAAGTTTTTACATGAAAGGCCTCAGAAGAGGCAGATATATCCCAGAAAGCTCTCCTCGCAAAGCATTATGGGATTTGCTATATCAGCGGCTCGCTGTCGCCATAGGCTGTCACTACCCCACAGCAGTGACTAATAACAAAGATGGCGCAGGCATCTGTGGAAGAGGAGTTACGTGGCCAACGGGGAGTGAAAAGCAATCTGTCCAAACGGCCAACTGAGTTCACTATCCACTATATAGTCCCCGCTCTAATCAGTGATTGAGGGATTTAGGAGTTAGAGTGGACGTTCGGACACACGGTACGCTTGTATGAGCTATAAGAGAACAGCAGTTTTTAAACAGAGCGTGCACGAGGAGATAAAGGCTTGTGCATGCTGTCGCACACATTTAATAGGGGATCCCTCTCAGGAGCGGGTACAGGGTTGTGCATGTGCATTTTTTTCTTAAAGTGGAGACTGCAGGTCTTTTTAAAAAATTGAGAAAATCTTCCACTCTACCTTTAACATCCAGTTTTTATTTTACATGTGTGGTGTGTTTTTCCTCATTCCATAGTGATCACCATGCAGCTCTGGACTGTAGATGTTCAACTGAGGCCATGTTGATACCAGATATCCATATTATACCAGATTTATAAAATGATCTGTCATCTGTAAACTTGATGAAAGGTCTCATCAACTGGAGACTGATGGTTCCTCACAAACATTCATTTGAAAAGAACATTTTCTAGCATTTGAAATGATGCTCTGTCTGATCGGACAGAGTATTGTGTTTTGTACAGACCTGTGAAGTATGTCAGTCCTTCCCATGATGCCTTTCTTTCGTTTCCATTACACAGCATCTCCGCCACTATCGATCATTTTAAGCATCTCTTTCAATAAAGATGCATCTGGTGCAGACATGAAGGCCAATTCAAACCCATCCATCTGCTGTGATATATTACAGATATACAGTTCATGCCTGATAGTTAAAATATAATGACTTTACCAAAGCAGTCCTTAGAGACTGTTTTATTATAAGTGTAAATACAATAAAAATGTAAGATGTTGTTCTAAATGTGGACAAATATATATTTTTTTCACTTTATTTCGAAATTCGCTATAAAAGTATAACTTTTCTTGCTTTTTAGGCCATTTTTAAAACATGTATAACCATCTAATTGACAGTAAAAATGTGTCTGCAAAGAGTAAAACCAGACACGGATCGTGTCGTGGTATGGCGTCACGCATCGTGGCCTCACAATGCCGTGGTGTGAAACACGAGGAGAACCTTTTCATTCACACTCCTACATTTTCACACAGTTCATAACATGAGAGCAGAGAGAGAAACCGGCTGGTGCCCGGTTAGTGCTCAGGGTGAACGGTTATCTTCACGTGTAAAGACAGCATGTGTTCATGTATTGATCCACTGCGCTACAGTCCGCCTCTTAGCACAGCCAAAAGCATAGAAATATGAGAATAGATGCTGTGTAAGAAAGGCGTTCATCCTTATGCCACACAATTTTTTACCTTTTTCTCTAATTTCAAACAAACAGGTTAGAATTTCCATTTTTTTATTATTATTATTATTATTATTATTATTATTATTATTATTATTATTATTATTATTATTATTGTTAGTAGTAGTAGGCCTATATTATAGTTTGGCTATAACATAATATACTACTACTACTACTACTACTACTACTAACAATAATAATAATTATATAAATAGGCCTAAATTATAGTTATATATTATTATTATTATTGTTATTATATTATTATTTTTTATTATTATTATAGTTATATAGTAGTATAACGAGGGACTGAAAAATAAATATTTTTTCGTTAGAATCTAATTAATTGTCTTTTTTGTTATTTAAACAGTAATAATCTCAACGTTTTGCTGCCAAAACTCACCACCATCAAATGAACTTTATTTCTAGACAGGGGCCAACAGGGGCCAGTGTCCCTGGCCCCTGTTGGCCCCTGTACTGAAGAAAAATGAATACCTAATCATTTTTTATAATGATAGATAGATAGATAGATAGATAGATAGATAGATAGATAGATAGATAGATAGATAGATAGATAGATAGATAGATAGATAGATAGAATAACTTGTGTGTGACTCCTTTTCAAATTAAGGTGTTACACTTTAGCATTAGGGTCCCAGTTTCCCTCTGAAATATGAAAAGCAGTTGGCCTCACCGCTATAAATTTGGTTTGGAACCAAGCATTGCTGTTTATTGTGGTCAACTTTTTTAGGGCTTGCCACTAGCAATATGGCGGACATGCTGACGAACCGTTTGTGCTGGGATACGAAGCAGGCGGGACATCTATGTGGAGTTGGTCTATGTTGTAATAACAGCGTATGCACGTACAGCTAGCCTAAGCTACACACGGACACCAACCGACCTTGAAGCTGTCCTCTGATTACTTCTCAAACATGATTGGCTGTAGCTTCGGAGCTCCATCACCTTCCTGCATTCTCATTGGAGGAACCCCTGTCACTTAACCCATGTCCGCCTCTGGCCTCATTTGATTGGCTCTCAGCGGCCCCCCTTTCTCTCGGCGGTGGGTCGGTGCCGCTGTCCCTGGCCTCGCATGTTTCCCTCTGGATTCCTGCTTTCAGTTTGATACCCCCTCTTTTAGATGTGCCTCATTTGAACGCCTTTGAAGGGCCACAGTCGGGCGTCCGTGCAGTGGACTAAAGTTGCCCCAACCGTTTTATTTTGAGGCGTTTCGAGGCTACAACCCCGAACATGTCTGTCAGCGGATCGTCTGGGCCGATTGCCCGGCTCGAGGGCCGTGAATTCGAATACATGATGAAGAAGCGCTCGGTGACCATCGGCCGGAACTCCTCTCAGGGATCCGTAGACGTGAGCATGGGCCACTCGAGCTTCATCTCTCGGCGGCACCTGGAGATATTCACGGCCAGCGACGACGGCACCGGCAGCGGGGATTTCTACCTGCGGTGCCTTGGTAAAAACGGGGTGTTTGTGGACGGAGTGTTCCTCAGACGGGGTGCCCCTCCTCTGCAGCTACCGCGAATGTAAGTGCCCCCTCCAGCACCGCCACCCCCCGGGGAAAGCAGGGGAAAGTAGCCGGACCAACAGAAAGTCTAACATTAACATTGAACAACATTAGGTTTATATTTTCGAAGAAGGGTCGAGAGGACCACGTGTTTTAGCATGTTAGCAAGAAGTCCGCATCCTGTTTCCTAAAGCCATTCTCTTTGTTGACATTCCTACTAGCAACCCTCCCGCCGTCATTCCACTCACATTCCACAGCCCACCCGTGGACCAGCTTCGGATTTCTCCCCCACTGCGCAGTTATTAACGCCAGTCGGTGAAAATGGCACAACTTCTCAGCTTAATGCGGCAATCGTTGATGTTTTGGTTATTTTCACGCCCTTCCAGTCAGAAACGTGTTGGTTGATGCAGTTATCTCCAGACTGTGGGTGTTTCCTACTGGGTATTAAGTTGTGAATGAAACTCCTCTGGACCTTTAGAACGTAAACAAACCAGCAGATCTCCGCCCTGCAGAGCAACAAGCCGTGACCTCCAGTTCACTAGATCAGATTCACACTCAGACTCCTCTGGCTGGTAAACAGGAGCTAAACCATCATGCATGCATTAAAAACTCTGCCATGCACTTTATCAGCAATTCTGAATATTATTTAGTTTAAACGCATAAGGTGCCAAATTTACAATCTGGTTCCCCCTTATTTTACCAGCGGATTTAAACTTTTTTTTAAACCTATTGTAGTCAAAGGTAAATAAGCAAAACATAATTTATTTTTGGTTAGCATTAAAATAATTTTTATATCTCCTGATATGTGTTTATGAAGTCTATGAAAGTCATATTTAAATGTCAAACTATTGTGGCTTAAACATGTATATAAATATACTCTTTACAAGAATATGTGGTCCCAAAATGTAGAACATTTTTATAAAAAAAAAATCCTGTCTTAAAATCTTTTTTTTTTTTTTTCGTTTTGTTATGCAGGCCATTTAGTTATACATCAGCTTGTACAACTAAATTCAGCCAATCATATATCAGCAGTGGTTTCAAAAGTTCACACATTTGTTACTCAAGTAGAAGTATAGATACTGCAGTTTAAAAACACTCTGGTAAAAGTTGAAGTATCAACTTGACCTTTTTATTCAAGTAAAAGTGAAAAAGTATGTGCTCCAAAAACTACTTAAAGTATAAAAGTTTAAAGTAACATTTAAAAAAAAAAGCAGCCAGATGCCGCTATATGAAATGAAAGCTAAATTCTTCGACTAGTTAGAAAAAACGGACACGCTTTCACCTGTGTCCGACCTTTCAGACATTTCAACATCTTTTTCTGAATCCATCATTGTAGCATGGCATAGACAATTCACGTTAGCAGTTTGAAGAACACCTGCTTGCTTCTGATGATTTCTTTTAGCTAACCAATGAGTGTTTGCGTTCTATGACTCATCCAATCACACTAGTTTTCACTAAATGTTGATTGAGCCAATGATCTGCATTGGATGGAGCACATGACGGGAAATAAAGATTTATAAATATTAAACTGCAGCCAAGAGTAACGAATAATGTCTGTTTTAAAAAAGGACTAGAAAGTACAGATACTTGTGTGAAAATGTAATGAGTAGAAGTCAGAAGTAGGAAGAAAAATAACTAATGAAGTAAAGTATAGATACCTAAAAAGTTTACTTGAGTACAGTAACGAAGTACACCTCTGTATATCAACAGTCATCTTTCAAATTTTTTCGACCATACCATCTTGATTCATATGTTGCAGGTAATATGCTGATACAGTTGAAATAAGAAATCAGAATCCTTTCCTTTCCCATTGAGTTGCGTCCCAGTGTTCACAGGGATGGACGTCTGTGTCTTCGGCAGGCGTAGAGCTAACAGAACTGGCAGCGTTGCGAGGCAAGGGCTCAAACATGTACGGCTGGAAGCCTTCTACACCAAACCAAGCTTCTGCCGCCCTGGCGTCCTCTTCCACAACATCTTCATCCCCGCTTTCCTCCTCTAAATAAAAAATGGATGACGGAGGAGACTCATCCACGACCTCCGACACTAAACTCTCCTCCTCTTGCATGTTTCCGCTGTCCATAGCGTTCCTTGACAGCGTCGTTTCTAAGTCACCAATTTAGTGCTACTTGGTCAAATAATTTAGTGATTAATCGTTAATGGAGTTTAGAGACTTTTAGTCTTAAGCTGACAAAGCGACCCACTTAAAACAGTAATTTTACCAAATATATATAAATATTTTCCATTTAAAATAAAACACTTTTTAGTCTGTCAACATACTTTATCCAGAACTACACCGGTGGAAAAGTTTCAGTTTTATTTGGTTTAATTCTAAAAAAAAAAACCTACTTTAATGAGCCTTTTGCTATCTGATTATTAAGCGATAGCTGCCCTAAATTATTTTAAAGTACAAATATCGTATTGATCAACATATTATTAATTGATGAGCAGTAATTTTCTTTAAAAGCTGAGTTTTCTCTTTTATTAAGAGGATCTTTCCTTAACATAAAAGGGAATTTTTTTCCCTTCTTTCCAATATGCTGAGTCAAAAGAAAAAGTACATTATATTTTAACGGTTTATTGTGCCAGCTCTATTCATTTCTGACTGGATAAACAAAAAAACAAATGAACTGAATTAGAAAAGATGAGTACAATATGTGAAATGCTTCTGATTTCTAATGTATAGAGATCCAAAACTAAAGACTGTCTGACTGTTTGCCACTTTGTGTCAAGAAGTGGACGCTAACTGTGATATAGCTTTCTGTTTTTAGTGTAATCCAGCCTGTAATGCCCAGAGAGACTTTGCTGCTAGCAGTTCTTATAAATTGGGGGTGTGTTCTGGTTGCTCGCAGGAGACGGCTTCATGAAGTCCATCAACATAAAAAGCCTTTCCCTACCAACACGCTTATGACGAACATGTTATTACTATTCTGTAACAAACACTTTGCATAATTCCCTCCACTTTAAATACGTCCTCACCTTCCCAGCACAGCAGAGAAGCTGCGCTGCTCCACCATAAAGCTCAGCTAAATGGGCACCATTTAGGTAATAACTTAGGGAGTTTATTGATTGTTTATATTTATAGAAAGAACATAATTAAGTCCATTCTGCATTCTTGTCGCCATTGAACTGTAAATAATTCCTGATCGGAATCTGGATCCATTGATGTTTCTGCTTTAGCATCTGTTCTGACATTACTTCTATTGCAAATACCAGTGAAGCTCTGTTTAGGAATGAACTGTTGCACCCTCTAGTGGACAACGGTAACATTACTGTGAGTCGATTTCTTGTGTTTACATCTGTAATCCTGACACAAAATTCTGATTTTACATTCCTTTTTGAAAAACCTTACTGGTTCCAAATCGCAGAGTTTGGTGTCGCCTATTAACCCAACTCTACAGAACATTCTGTATCAGGTATGAAAAAACTGGCAGTGATTACGGCAGACGTTATGACAATATATTAGTTGCGATTAATTGCCCATTTTTGTGCCTTTTGTATTTTTGCTTCCGTCACTCTGTGACCTTTGGCATTTTGGGGAATGTTAAAAGTATCTGATGCAACTTTCTGCTGCTTTGCGACTATATCCAGCTGGCTAAACATTGTATTAGCAGGCAAAATGCAAATTCATAACCTTTGCTTAGCATTTTTCTTACTTGTATCGGCTGATTCACGCACACGTTGGCCAGTTCTTTGGTGCATTCGGCAGCCTTCCCATCACGTGAAGCTGATGGATTGTCAATTTATGTAACATTTATTATTGTTTTATTCTTATAATATAAAACAAAGCAGAGAAAAACAATACTGGGAGCAAATTTCTAAACAATAAACCTGTATCAATTGATCTCCACTTGGAATATATTAGCCAACAATGACTGGAAAAAAAGCAAAAGCCTCACACTGTTGCTGTAATTGATATATAAGCCCCATTTCCACTAACATCTGAAAACGGTTCTGTGCAGAACGTGGATCATTTAACGGTGCCAAGCTCGGTTCCTTATGACCGTTTACACACCACGCTAGCACGGTTCCTCGCCTCCTAGCGGCGATCTACGGTACTACTGCTCTCTAGTGGTAAACAAGCAAATCAATATGGCTGCGCCCGTAACGTTTTTTAGAGAGCCAGACGAAGAAGGCAGCCTTTGTTGAATTTACGTGACTTTTGGGAAGTGGATACGACAAACGATAGTCTAATCAGGGCTTACAGATGCAGGAAATGACAGCACTCTTTGTTATCTGAGAATCGAGCCAGAACTGAACCGCAGCGAGACCTACTGATGAGCTAGTACCATGTTAGCGTGGATCGGTTGTGTCTGGCACAGTACCGGTTCAGTTTTGCGTGCCATTTTCAATCAACAGTTATCTCGGTTATCGTGCTCGGACCGATCTGGGCGCCGTTTCAAAAGGGTAATATAAAGAGGCTATAACCTCTTTATATTTTGTGACCTTTTTTGGGTTAATAAAATCCCACTTTTATGAAGTAGATCCATAGAAAATGACTTGAATAAGTCATCACCTGAAAATTAGACTTTTGAGCCTCAGTGTAAAACTATTGGGCTATCCAGGGTGTGAAAGCTTGTTGGGTTTTTTGTTTGTGTTTTTTTTTACTTATTTTTTTTTTCTTTGAGGGATTTTTGTTTAAAACGGAAGATTTTGATTCTCCACATTGACTTGCAATTTATGATGCTAACATTAGCCTGGCTTGCTATTACCACCCCTATTTCTTTGTCTGTAACAGACCAGAAAATGGCAGTAAACAAACCATGGCTAACTGCTAATGTCGTTAGCACTACATAAACTTTAGTGCAAATACACCAAAATTATAGTAATGGGCCAGATTGAGCTCCATTTATTTATTTATTTCTTCTAAAATTGATTTATTTGAATTTCAGGACAATTTCAGAAGGACCTTAACTGAACCCTGAACCAGGTTATGACTCCTTTAAAATCCTCGGTTGTTACTGTGGGAAGAAAATGTCCATCTGGTGGTAGAGATGGTGCTTTATGTTGCAGCAAAAATAA